ATAGATGGACGTGGGGATAATAGATGTAGAGGGCGCACTGCTTGTCGGTAGCTGGCACGTATACGCGTAGGACATCAAAATATATGCACCGTCCGTAACGTAGTGTACATGTGGCAGAAGCCACAGCAAATGTTGCCAACTTGCCCCTAACTAATTCAAGCCCTGTTGGAACCGTAAAATCAAAGTTCAGGGCTAGCCAACATTGCTGGAGTTTCTCAGACAAAATTTAAATTATTGTCCTGTCGTCAATCCATTTTTTATTTTGAGTGAATTGGTCCATGATATTTGCACAAAACAGACTCGTCCTAGGCCCCGAAAGCGATCACCGGAAGGCCGTGGCCAGGACTGTCGGAAGAAGCCAAAGCCTCTAGCTCAGTCCAGTTTTGGGCAAATATTTCACGGTCGCCATGCTCAACAAAAAAAATGCATGCCAGCACATAAAGTTTCCTCTGTCGCAAGTTCAGCTTTGTTTTTGTTTTTCCCTCCGGAGTAGTAATTGTAATTTGTACTCACTGAGCTTCAATATAATAACGTGAAGCCCTGTGCTTACTAGCGCCGTGAGAGGGCGGTCTTTCGGAGCACCGTTAAGTTTTCTTTGCAGTCCCAGTGAAAGGGTAGGAGTGTTGAGCCGCGTCATCATTAGTTTGGTAGACACAGAATTCAAAGTCCAAAACCCCACGCAAATTCAAAATTTCAAAAGTTTCATGCACATACCTTCAGGTGGTCGATCGTCCCATTTGGTAGTGCAACTTCCATGCACAATTTGATAAATACTGCAAGAACGCCATTGAATATAACTAGCGGCGTAGTGCAAACATCACTCGGGCCAGGGTGACAGGTTGTACCCTCCCCTCACCCTGGATACGCCAGTGAATACAACTCAAGCAAATTGTTGGAGACTTCGAAATGCCTAAGGAGCAATGGAAAACAGTTTCATGTTCAGATTCTAAAACTTTTGTATCATAGTTTACATGTAACAGCTCTCCTTGCGGCTTCATCTGAGCGCGCCCCCGCCGAAAAGAGTTTCGCAGCACTGGTCCGTAATAACCTCATCCTCCACCCTCGGTTTCTCTCCAGTTAATGCTCATGTCTGAGATCGTCGATGTGGACTTTCACCTATGATTTTGTACATGCCTCCTCCTTGGTGTCATTAAGCAGTTTTGGCGAAACCATGATCTTCTTGTATAAAGGTTGCGTTCATTTCGAGCTTCAAAGTAGGAGAACCTGTGTGAGGGTTAGTGATAGGAACATCCGCACAGCTGGGTGCCGTCAATAAGCGGACGAAATATAAACACATTTTCACCCTTTCCACTTCCAAGGGGAGGGGAAGTGTGGTAGAAAAGGGAATGAAGTAACCATGTCCCCATTGGGTCCATCATTACACCATGACCATTGCTCTCAGGGTATGCGCGTCATACATGCCTAACAAAACGAAGGCAGGTGGGCAAGGGGTCGAGCGAGGACGGCACGCCATAACTTGAAGGGTGTTCTTTAGTTCGCGTTATCCCCACAAAGTCCCTAGGCCTACTACAAAGTAGCAGTGAGTGAGTAGTACCCGCCCATTCCACGCTTTGCTAGCTGCGAGCACTGTCATTTCCGTTCAGGAAGAAATTAATCGCTGAAGTTATTTCCTAACACGTTGACATTTTGTTAGCCCGGAAAGTGATGCTAAAGAATGCTGACACTGACAGGGGACAGATTTTTCTAGAACTTAGAAGCAACATGCGCAGCTCTAAACATTTTAAAAGAGTAACACAAAATGAATGGGCAGAAGAGTGGTCCCGTACAGAAGCGTATCACAGTACTGGGCATACGTGGTGAAAGGTGGGCATGGCTTTTACCGGTCACCCGACCTAAAATTTAAAAAAATGGCAGGTTGACGCCATCTTTTATGGCATGTCTTTGTCCTATTTTACCCCATTAATTAATTAATTTTTGTTTTGCTTTTGCCATTCCAAAAAGATTTAAGCCTTTCCTTATACGTGCTGATACGAATGCCCATCATTCATGAACAAAATGCGTTTTTATTCTGGGTGAACCCTTCAAAAACACCACTATATCAACAAAAAAATTTAAACTTCGTCGCATTCGGTATATTTTGAAGTCGTGCATTGTGTCATACATGGAAGTAATCCAGTGGGCAAACCTTTATCACAAAGAATAATTATCGATGAGCAGTCAGTTTGAATAGAAAATCCTGGAAGAGTTAATTCCTAGGATGACATCACAGAAGAAGCGCCCTCAGTTCCGGCAAAGTATGGAAATCATTTTAAATGATTAAAGAAGTGCACGAGTCGATCAAGTTCACCACATTGGACGTCACATCGTTTCATATAATTATTTCTATAAGAATGGAAAATTAAATTGTATAAACTAAGACAGATTAATCGCACAGCCCCTTTAACAATGTGGAGTTCTTTGAGACCAGACGAGGATGAGTGTGAGACTGTACGAGATGACATAGCAACCACAGCAACAGAAAACCACACCCATAACACTACGACCACACCTGGTAATTCAGTTCAAGACAAATAGCATTGGTTACCTTGGTAGCACGCGTAATTTATAACCAGCAAGCTCTATGCGTATCATACTGATTCATGTGTGACAGGAAATTTGTAGCCTGCATTCCAAACAAATTTATCATCACCAGTCAAAATATCCAAACATTTTCAAAATCAGTAACGTAAACAAAATATAATTCTACATAATGAATTCAACTTGATGGCGTAAGTGTGATATGCGTTAGTGATGATAATGATTTTACACTTTTTGTTAATGTTGGGTCCGGGTCTGACGGTCACGTGCCCTTTGCCCCTTGCATGTGCTCGCATTTTTGGCCAATTGTGCTGATTCATTTAAGCTTGTAGTTGGGTACAATGCGAAAGTTACAAGTTAGTGACTCTGGATCTCACTTAATAAATAAAAGTGTGGCTAAAATCAACTACATTGTGACCTAAATGGAATTCATGAAAGAGGAGACTCACTGTATGACTTATTTCAGTAATTTGCAAGCACAATCTTTTCACAATCTACACGTTAATTTAAACAATCACTACGCGAATGGCCGGCCGTTATAGTCTGGGCTGATGTGTAGGCGTACCCTGCCTGATAACATTGTTTTCCGTGATCCCGTTTACAAATCATGAAAACCATTGAAAACCCGGAATGAGAATGTTTCCATGATCAAAGGAGGAAGATACCGAGATGTCCACACAAGAGCTGTATTGCAAGGTAAGATTTTGGTGGTGAATTTCGGTGGGAATTTGACCAGGTTGACCCAATGGGAATCGCACCCATGTATCCTCTCCATGCAGCATCATGCGATGGGTGAACAGGTGTTCACAGGCATTACAGAGATTGAGAGTTCTTTTACTCCACTTCCTTCCTCATGATCGGTGTACCGTGGACATTTTGAAGCTGTCGAGTATTACAGTAAATGTAATAAAAGACTTCCCCGCTACCTGAGATTGGCTGTGTGAAAAAACCTCTGGGGCTGTATTTTTGATAGTTTCACATCTGGTCAGCCATGTCAGCTGGTCATAATTTGAAATGTTGATTTTGTCCAGACCGGGTAGATGTTACATATCCATACATGTAGACGTACATCATCCATTTCACTGAGTGTGTATCTGTAGATTATGTTTTTCATGTTACTTAACCACCTCTCACTTTTTTATTAGGATAGTCTTTCAACATTTCATGGCAAAATTTACAGATCTCATGCGTTGAGGTAAAAAAATTACAGTTTGTTTGAAATCTAAGCAATGTCTGGGCTGTACAGTTTACTGATTTAGGGGTTCCTCTTCCGGATTTAGTGCACCATTTCCAAAGACTGCATTTTAAACTTAGGAAGTTACATTTAAAGACACTTTAGTCTTCTCATATGATTTTTATGACCATTGCTTTCAAGGTGATTTAGTCCTACCTATTTAAAAATATGAGTTTGAAGTTTATCAATTCAATAATACACATGTAAGGCCAACTTTCTGGTGAAAGTCTGTAAGAAAGGTTGACTTTTGAAATTAGGAAACTCTACACTTGTGTTGAGACTTAAAAATGGTGGAAAGGTCTTTTTTGCCCCCTATATCCTTCGCTGAAGACAAATTCACTTCGTAAAGTATTGGAATATACATATTTTTTAATTTTGATCTGCATGTATAGAGGGGCATACCCAACATGGCACAGTGTAATATATTCGAAAACACAAGTTTTTGCTTCATTCATTTATGAAAGTAGTGGCCTAGAATATTTGAACAATATTCACCTGGTGTTATTTAACCCTAACCCCCAAGTGTGTATGTAAAATCGTTTTGAAATTGGAGGATTTGGGACTGTTAGGGTTTGAAAAAACTTTCCCATCAGACTGTAGGCTACATGTAAGCATTTGCATAGAAGTAAATACTGAATAAAGCCTTTTATTTACTTTGCTCAGTTTGCAATTCTTACATAAAATCTAGTCCAAGGACACGGCACTGTTAGGCCAACAGTGTAAGTCCATACATGTACATTGTACATGTACATGTACGTACATGTAGGGTACATACTTTTATACGTAGAGCTAATTTGTGGGGGCATCAGTTGGTAAAATGATTAGATATGGACATCAATTGGGCAACACAGTTTGTAAAACCTGTTTTTATTTGAACAGTTTACATGTCGGCCATGTTGACAGTCGAGTTCCAGAGTTCAACTTATGTCATGAAAAATTCTTCTGTTGCTTGAAAGATGTGCTAGTACAGTGACGAGCTGCTTTGTTCAAATGGAAGGTGCGGCTTCCTGCATAAAAGAGTCCTTCAGTTCTAATAGAGTGCATTGTTGGAAGCAATGTCAAAAGTTCAACATTTTGAATGTCAGGAAGATATTCATGATTTCATACCAGTATCAATACGGCTGTGTTTAGCCGTTTGAGTCATGCTAAAACTTTAACAGAACTTTTCTGTAGGAAATTGGTTTGAAAGTGAAAAGTACAGGTACATGTACATGTATGTACATGTAGCTACTCATTCAGTTCAACATTTTGAACAGGCATGACCAAGAATTTAGAAATGACATCTTTAAAGTTACCGGTACATGTGCATGTACATGAAGGTGTATTTGTTAAACAGGTGTATCTGAATAGTGATACCTGAAACAGGTGCATTACTTTACAGTTTGCAGGATTCATGGCTGAGCGACTGCATTTCCTGAGGGCAGGCATGCAAATTTTCCCCGGATCTTCTGATTTCCTCATTTTTCACTTCACACTCATGCCATTAAAAATTGAAAAATGTACAAAGTCTTGAAAAAGATTGGAATTTCCTTGTTTTTCTCAAAGTCCTAGTTACATGTGCAATAAACATTGAGGGTGTCAGACAGTACAATACCAAGAACCACAGTGTTAGAATTTCTTCACTTACATGTTGCTGAGAGGGCAAGGCCTATTGTTAAACTTTGGCAAGTTACCTGTGTTTGCTATTTTCATTTTACAAAATCATTGTAAATTGTGTTCTGTCAGAGCTATCTATATATGGAGGTTTTTGACAGTGTAACTGTAAATCAGGGTTACACTGTTCAGTGTAAACAGGCAAATGTGTATTGTGACAGATGGTCTGACAACTGTTGGTGGTTACAAATTGTGGCTTTATCCCTGTCACTGACTTCTCTTGATGTTTCCCCTCTGGCTTTGGAGCTTGTAGCCAAGTGAAAAAAAAATCATGTTTTGCTATGAGCGTTGAAGTGTTTGCTATCAACCAGACCATGGCAGTTTTCCCTTTAGACTGAACATTTACAGGCCGACAAGTTCTTTCAGTGTCAGAGACGAAGCATGAGACAAAGATGAACCTATGATTTGGGATTGGGAATTTACCGGTAGTCATGAATGCACTTGTGTGGATTTACATGTATAGTGTGCATGATTTGAACATGGGCAATGTACATGTACATGATGTAAGTTGGGTGGATACGATGGCTTTCAGGTGGGCTCAACCTCTCTTGACGCCGTCAGCACTGGGAATGTACATGTCCCCTTTCCACATGTGGATCCCATGGAGAGTCATGACTTGCAAAAATAATTACTGGGGAACAGTAACGAAAACTTGGCCTGGGAAAAATGTCGACCGGTACTCCAAATGATAAGCTACTCAGAACAGATCTTTATGTGAGGAAATATGCATGATTTGAACATGAGCAATTTAAACTGTGTGGGCACTGTCACTAACGGCTTTCAGGTGGGCTCAACCTCTCTCTACGCCAGCACCACTGGGGAGTGAGCAGTACGTGTACACTTCACCACATGTGGATCCCATGGAGAATCATGACTTACAGGGATAATTACCGGGGAACATATAACTTGGCCTGGTCAAAGTAGTAACTCAAAATGATTAGCTGTGCAGAACAGAGCAAATATTTAATATTTTGTTGTAATTTTGTTTGTCCTGGTATTGGTTTGTACCCTCTTCGTTTGTAGGAAACAGTAATCTAATTATTTAAATGTACCAGTAAATGTCAGAAATCTATACAGTCTTTTTACATTACGTACATGTACATTGCACTTCCTGAGCAATTCATCAGAAGGATTAAAGTAGGATCAGAGTGTAGATAAGGGGTGGAAATACCAAACCAGCTGTCACATGTCCAGTTTCATATTTGGAAATTTTTAAGTAACCATCCTGTCATGGATCCATGCAGCAGCTTGACATAGAGCGTTTTCGAAACGAGTGGATTCGTCTTAGATTTTAGTTTTGCTGGTTCCAGCCATTTTGAAAGGGCATTCAAAACCACATGTTCAAGCTCTGACTAAAACCAGCGAAACGGAAGTCTAAGCTGAATCCACTTGTTTTGAAAACACTCATAAAAATAGAAAAGTGTATTTTTTCAACAGACATGAGGGATAATATTTTGGGTAGATTCTCTTATCAATGGCACACATGTACACATGCAGAAGAAAAGGTAATTCCCATTTTTTCTTTCCTTTGTAAATTTCAAAATATCCCCCTGACAGGTGGTTGGAGTTTATGTGTGGTCCTCTGAAAAGCTCACCCTATGGTAAATGAAAAATATATTTAGTCAGTACCGGGTATTTGCTGAAATTTTTTGAGTTGAAATTTTCTGTGTAAATCCAGGAGATGACTTTAAGAGAAAAAAAATCTGTTTATGTTTGATCTGTTGTCACATTTCACAAAGGCAATTGTGCGATTTCAGGATCATTGAACCAGTACACTTCAGCCTTTGAGTCAGAATCCATGTACGTGTAGGTGTAGCCAAAGAATTGAAATTTTCACTTTAACAACACTTGGGCTGTACCATCCACCGCTATGTAATTACATTGGGTGATTGGGAAGGTGTTACATTTTCACCATACCAGTCATAACAAGTCAAGCTGGTCTGCCTCATAAATTAATTACAACAGAATTGATCAGGAAGGTCGGATAGAGGCTGTGCTTTATGTCTTGGGAATCTGGAAGGTTTTCTCATTATTTCTTAGCTTTCCAACTTTAGTGACAGTTAAATACATGTATACTGGTAAATCAACGGCATGTACAGTGCAACAAAACGAGGGCTCTGTTTGAGGTGGGTAAATTTGGAGTAAAAAGAAAGATTTTACCCAAACCAATACACTGTACCAGTACATGTACATGTTCATTAGCAGTGCCCTCCTATTGTGTCCGCCATGTACCGGTACATGTACATGTATACAAGTACATGTACATGTACCTCAAATACGTTGTATATACATGTACATGTAGACTCTCATGGACTGGTACATTAAATACAGAATTCATTCCACATATTCAAATCTAATGTACAGTAAACTGCAAGTGGTTATTGCTTCACACCAGAAATATTAAAAAAGGAGAATGAAAAATATTGTTGAAATGACAAGTTTGGTAGTGGCAAGTGACCACATGTACATGTGTATTGTACTACCGGTAGATGTCCTTGTAAATTTATGCAATGCGAAATATGGGTCCTTTTTCAGGGAATGGGCTGTTTTGCAGTGTATTTAAATAGCGATATTTGATAATGGACTATAAATTATCCAGGTACTGTACCTGTACTCAAGATAAAGTTGTACATGTACTTGGCGCATACAGGGCTTGTACACTTACTAAAATATTCATCTCAACTCTTTCAGGATGACTCATAGGAATAAAGTGCCCAGCAGTACTTTGTACACAGACCACAAAACACCATTGTTGAGTGTGCAAAACCTTCAAGACTGCATCTTTGACCTTAAGTGATGAGGAGAAAGG